GGCCGCTGCAGCCGGCGTGCTGCGGCTGGCGCATCGCACTGATCCGAAGCCAGGAGCCAGGTGCTTCTCCTGATCTCCCATGCGGGTGCAGGGTCCAAGCACTTGGGCCATCCTCCACTGCACTCCCGGGCCATAGCAGAGAGCTGGCCTGGAAGAGGGGCAACCGGGACAGAATCCGGTGCCCCGACCAGGATTAGAACCCGGGTTGCCGGTGCCACAGGCAGAAGATTAGCCTAGTGAGCCGCGGTGCCAGCAAAAGTAATAAATATTTCAAATAAGAGAATACCATATCTCAAGTATTATTTAATTTTTCACTGTCTTTTGCTATAAATATTCCAAGGTAAAGAAGGAAAACAAAAAGTAGTTGTAAGTTTTATTCACAAAGACATTTATGCATCCACAAATTTTTTGTCAGTTGTTGTTATCACTCATTAAAATTTTTTTCTTATAAGACTAGTATTTTCACATACTCTCTGTAGCAAGATTATTTCCAGTATCTAATTTCCTTTTTTTTTCAATTTATCATTGAATTCAAATAAATTGAGTACTTACAGGTGATGGCATTTGGCCTGATTTATTCACTACAAAATGTAGAGCAGTAATATCTGGATCCCTAAGTAGCAACAGTAAGATGTCTAGATTTGCTGTGCATTGTGTGGCTGCAGAATACTTTTTTGTAGCCTGACACTCAATGTAGGTCTTGCACGTAGGTCACAGGGACCCAACTATTAGAGCTACCCCTTGCTGCCTCCTAAAATGCACATTAGCAGGAAACTGGAATTGGAAGTAGAGATGGGACTCGAACCCAAGCACTCTGATAAATGTGAGCATTCCGAGTGCAAGTTAACTACTGTGCCAAGTTCCTTCCCTGGTCATTTGAATTAATATTTTACTTTCTGTCATATATAGCATCCTCTACATCAGTACTGTACAATTAAATTGCCTGTGATGATAGAAATATTCTAATCAGCACAGTCCAATATAGTAGGTTTTATTGAACACTTAAAATGTATCTAAGGGCACCTGAGGAACTGCATTTCAAAGTGTATTTAATTAATTTAAATAGGCACTATGGCTAGTGAATACTTTTTTTTTTTTTTTTTTAATTTATGTGAAAGGCAGAGTTACAGAGAGGCAGGGAGAGAGGTCTTTCATGTGCTGGTTCAGTTCCGAAATGGCAGTATTAGTTGGAGCTAGGCCAGGCTGAAGCCAGGAACCAGAAGCTTCTTCCAGGTCTCCCCCATGGGTTCAGGGGCCCAAGTATTTGGATCATCTTCTGCTGCTTTCCATGGTGCATTATCAGGGAGCTGGATCGGAAGTGGGACTCAAACTGCCTCTCATATGGGATGCCAGTGCTACAGGGGGCAGCTTAACCAGCTACATCACAGCACCAGCCCCAAACTAGTGAATACTACAATGGACAGCATACATGTAGAGTAACTCCTCACCCTTCCATTTTCAGTTTAAAATACCCAGCTTCATTTAAACTTACATATATTTCACTGAATGTGTTTTATGCACCTTTGTTTATAAGGATAACACACACAAACACATAGTGATCAAGTTATTTTTAACTAGTTCCTGTTTTTCTTTTTTTTTTTTTTAAGATTTTATTTATTTATTTGAGAGAGAGAATTAAAGACAGTGAGAGGGGAGACAGAGAGAAAGGTCTTCCTTCCATTGGTTCACTCCCCAAATGGCCACAATGGCCAGAGCTTTGCTGGTTTAAAGCCAGGAGCCAGGTGCTTCTTCCAAACCCCCCATGTGTGTACAGGGGCCCAAGCACTTGGGCCATTTTCCACTGCCTTCTCAAGCCATAGTAGAGAGCTGGATTGGAAAAGCAGCAGCCAGTGGGGCCAGCGCCGTGGCTCACAGTTAATCCTCTGCCTGAGGCGCTGGCATCCCATTTGGGCATCGGGTTCTAATCCCAGTTGCTCCTCTTCCAGTCCAGCTCTCTGCTGTGGCCCAGTAGTGCAGTGGAGGATGGCCCAAGTGCTTGGGCCCTGCACCCGCATGGGAGACCAGGAGGAAGCACCTGGCTCCTGGCTTCGGATTGGCATAGTTCCAGCCATAGCAGCCATTTGGGGAGTGAACCAGCGGAAGGAAGACCTTTCTCTCTGTCTCTCTCCCACTGTCTAACTCTGCCTGTCAAAAAAAAAAAAAAAAAAAAAAGAAAAGAAAAGAAAAGAAAAAAGAAAAGGAGCAGCTAGGACTAGAACTGACACCTAAATGGGATACCAGTGCCAAAGGCGGAGGATTAACCTACTGCACCATGGTGTTGGTCCCTGTTTTTCTAATATGATAATAATATATAGTCTTAGATGATCAGGACTGTATTCATGCTTTTTTATAGAGTATCTAATATATCATCTGTTAAAATTGGGTGTTTTCTGGTCACTAATATTTTTTAAAGTGGAAATATTCATTATAGAAAAATATGAAGGAAGAAAAATAGAAAATAGAAAGACAAGAATAACAGTCACTATAGTGGCACAAAATAGAAATCATGAGGAGCCAGTGCTGTGGCACAGCAGGTTAAAGCCCACCCTGAAGTGCCGGCATCCCATGTGGGCGCCAGTTCAAGTCCTGGCTGCTCCAATTCCTATCCAGCTCACTGCTATGGCCTGGAAAAGCAGCAGAAGATGGCCCTGGCATTCACATGGGAGACCCAGAAGAGGCTCTTGGCTCCTGACTTTGGATTGGCTCAACTCCAGCCTTTGTGGCCATCTGGGAATTGAACCAGGGTTGGAAGACCTCTCCTTCTCTCTGCCTCTACCTCTCTCTGTAGCTTTTTTTTTTTTTTTTTTTTTTTTGACAGGCAGAGTTAGACAGTGAGAAAGAGTGAGAAAGACAGAAAGGTCTTCCTTCCGTTGGTTCATCCCCCAAATGGCCACTACAGCCAGCACACAACGCCGATTCAAAGCCAGGAGCCAGGTGCTTCCTTCTGGTTTCCCATGTGGGTGCAGGGCCCAAGCACTTGGGCCATCCTCTACTACCTTCCTGGGCCACAGCAGAGAGCTGGACTGGAAGAGGAACAACCAGGACAGAATCCGGCACCCCGACTGGGACAAGAACCCGGAGTACCGGCGCCGCAGGCGGAGGATTAGCCTAGTGAGCCATGGCACTGGCCTGTAGCTGTGTCTTTCAAATAAATAAAAATATACCTAAAAAAAAATAGAGATCATGACTACAAATATAGATCACCAGGATGTGCCAATGAAAGTTTACACCTTTTCTTTTTTTTCTTTTCTTTTTTGTTTTTTGATAGGCAGAGTGGACAGTGAGACAGTGAAAGAGAGAGAGACAGAAAGAGAGAAAGGTCTTCCTTTGCAGTTGGTTCACCCTCCAATGGCCGCCGCGGCCGGCGCGTTGCAGCCGGCGCACTGCGCTGATCCAAAGCCAGGAGCCAGGTACTTATCCTGGTCCCCCATGGGGTGCAGGGCCTAAGTACTTGGGTCATCCTCCACTGCACTCCCTGGCCACAGCAGAGAGCTGGCCTAGAAGAGGGGCAACCGGGACAGAATCCGGCGCCCCGACCGGGACTAGAACCTGGTGTGCCTGCACAGCAAGGCGGAGGATTAGCCTAGTGAGCCGCGGCGCTGGCCACACCTTTTCTAATGTAATTAATCCACAGTGTTATGTCACTTTGGGTAGTGTCAGACAATTGTATTTGTGTCCATCTTGAACCTTTTTTTTTGGCGGAAACCCCAAACCCGGCTCTGTTCAACTATTGCAAGACAAGCTAATTAGTGACACTGGGGTGGTAGAACAAAGTAGGTATTTAACTTTGCAAATCACAGAACAAGGAGTAGGGCAGCAGTGGATTAATTCCTGGACTCCAAGGAGGGGTAAACAGGAAGCAATCTTAGAGATTGAAGTTGGAATCAAAAGGTATCTGATCAGCCCACGTGCAGGTTCTGGTTGGTCTGTAGTATTTGTGTTACTCCTTTGCTTGGTCAGCAGTAGGATGGCTGTTCTATTCTTTCAGGAATTTGGGGATGGCATATTGGGTTCCAGCCAATCTGAGGAAAACATGCAGATGCCTAACACCTCGCTTGCTCAAGGCCCAGGGATTCCTGTTTAAAACAACACCACCAGCACCAACACAGAATCTAAATCCAGGATGTTATCTGTGAAGGAGATAAATGATCTCATGAATCTTGTGATTTGAGAGCCTATGCAAAGACTGGACCTGATACAAAACTCCCTCATTTCAATGAATTAGTCTTTAGTACAAGGTTAATTTGTAATCATCAAAGCAAGGCAAAGACTATGCTGAGGGATAGAGTCTGAGAGAACAGAGCCTGAGAATATCTATGTCAAAGGCATCATATAGGGCACTGTTTTATATTTTAACTTGAAGGTAATAAAAATAGACATTGGTTAACGTTCATTCACTGTATTTGTCAATCCATTGTGTCTTACAAGTCAGAATTTTTACATAGTATATAATAAAATTCATAAACATTTTCACAGTTGGATGATAGTCCATTCATGCCTATATACCATAAGTTATTTAATCAGTTCTCTGTTTCTTGGCATTTAGATGTTTCTTTCTCACTTCTATAAATATCATTGTACTCAACATGTTGATACTAAAATTTTTCATTTCTGATTATTTCTTTAGTACTTAATTTTAGATGCAAAATCACTAGGCCTAATGAAATGAACAAATCCTTGATATATATTGCCAAGTAGGATCCTTGACACCTGTCATCAAATTGTCCTCTAGAAAGTTCTTTCTTGCTTATAAAAAATAAACGATCCTTGTTCCATTTCTACCTTTTAAACATTTTTATAAGTATAGCTTTCTCTTTTTTTAGCCTTTAAACTTATATTTGGTTTTAGGACTCAGAATTGTTCTTTAATAATGTTTCTTTCAAGGGATTAGCAGAGTAATCAAATGGTTAGGAATATCCAAACGAGGTAAGACTTCCATTTTTTTCCTCATGAAGGTTTTCAGATATAACATTTTTCATTGCACAACTGTTTTTTCCTAGGGTGAAAAAGGATCAAAAGGAGACCCAGGTCTGGCTGGCCTTAATGGACAAGATGTAAGCCTAACTCTGTTTCTAATATTCTTTTTACATTTTGCCCATATACTGTACTATTGAATGCTATTAAGATTTCAGTATCCTTGGCACAACTAGCCATGATGACACAAAATTAAGAATCGAGATTGTTTTTCTTCATGGCTCATTAGGGGCCCAAGGTCTTTAGTTTCGTTACAGGTAGTTCTTTGTTTTATACATGCATATTTCACATGTGGGTTTATTCTTACCAGCCCTTCCTTCTTTGCTATTTCTGATTTGTGGGTTTTTTTTTTTTTTGAGGCTTCAGTTTTCCATTTTCTTATATTATTACAGATTTTCTTCTTACTGTGCCTGTGTTGTCACCCAGAATGCACCTTTTACCTCACCCCATATCTCTGTACAATCAGAAAGTCTGTGTTGATAGCTTTGCAGTGATGAGAAGAAAAGGGAAACTGTGTATATGTGTTGCTTTTCCCGCTGTGCCAGCTCCTCAAGAGCAGGGATCCCGTTGCCTGTGACATATTGCACCCCAGTCAGCTCCCTCCCTCTACTTACGACAACTGTCCCAACAGAACTTCATTCCAGTTCTTAGGGTGAAATTTGAAGGATGGACCAAAAGTGAGTCTTCCCTTGAAGCTCACTGTTTATTATATTGCAGATATGCTAACTTTACTGGAGAAAATATGCATAATGAGAGTTATTGTTTTCCTCAGTTTCCTTTTCTCATTTAAATATTTTTAAATGAACCTAATGGCCCCACTACTTACTCTGAGGATAAAGGATACAGGAACACCATAGGAGGCTATATTCAATTCCTTAGGACTCTAGAAGATTTATGAAACTGACTTGTAGGTGACAGATCATTGGAGTACAAAAGGAGGCTAAAGACCAATCGCTTGTGCACAAAGTAAGGGAATACCTGAGTCTGAGTCGGCTTACCCCCAAAAGAGAAATACCCCAGAAATTAACATCAATTGTCACCTCCCCCAACAGCATTACCGTCTTCTAAGAAGCATCACTCACATCCTGAACACAACCTTTATGTCCTCTCCCCCTTTGAAATTATGTTCCCACACTAGAGAATGGGCGCTACCACCAGTGGCTGGTGGCTAGAGGAGTGCTGCATCTTCTTGAAATCTATAGAAGGGCTCATCAAACAGTTCATGGAAAATGAAATAAAAAATAAGATGATTTTGGCAAAAAAACGTTTTGAAATCCATGCTTATAAGCAGTCCTCAAAAAGTTATAGAAAACACAGATTATGGGGAAAAATCTACATAGATTTTAATTGTTTTGCCTCAAAGTAAACTGGTGGGCTGGCACTGTAACTGGTAGATGGAGCCACCACTTGCAGTGCTGGCATCCCATGTGGGCGCTGGTTCAAGTCCCTGCTGCTCCACTTCTGATCCAGCTCTCTGGATGGCCTGGGAAAGCACTAGAGGATGGCTCAAGTCCTTGGTCCCCTACACCCCCTTAGGAGACACAGAAGAAGCTCTAGGCTTTGGATTGGCCTACCTCCAGCTGTTGTGGCCATTTGAGGAGAGAACCAGCAGATAGAGGACCTCTCTCTCTGCCTCTGCCTCTATGTCTCTGCCTTTCAAATAAACAAATAAATCTTTAAAAGAAAAATAAGACTAAACTTGTACCTTAATTCCAATGTCCATGAACTGTTAAAGTACCTCAAACATCAGAACAGTGAATGGCCCATGCACGTAAACACAGCATTTGATTCCCCTCTCTACTTGTCACTAGAGGAACCAGGGATGGTAATAAAAGTTCTAGAGTAGAAAATTGGGGCTCAGTTTGTGTCCCAGGTCTGTCACTAACTGAGCAAATTAGTTCTCAGAATCTATAAAGTGATAGGCTTAGAATAGATTCTAAAGTCCCTGTAATGTCCTGTGACTTAATAAAATGAGATTATTAAGATTACAGATTTTAAAGGCATGAGATTTGAGCATTCATTCAGATTTTTAAAAAAGATTTATTTATTTATTTGAAAGCAGAATTACAGAGAGGGAGAGACAGAGGAGAGAGAGATCTTCTGATAGCTGGTTGACTCCCCACCTGGCTACAAGAGCTAAGAGCTTCATCTAGGTTTCCCATGTGGGTCCAGGACTCAAGGACTTGAACAATTTTCCACTACTTTCTCAAGTGAATTAGCAGGAAGCTGGATCAGAAGTGGGGCAGCTAGAACTCAAAATGGCTCCCATATTGAATGTTGGTGCTGCAGTTGGTGGTTTAACCCACTGAGCCAGCTCCATTCATGTTTTTAGAATCTCTGCTACATGGAAGGCATTGTGGGAAAACAAAACAGGAACCCAGCCGAGTATTTCTAACCTCCCTTAGAAGCTAGCCTTGTCTTTTAAAACCCCTTTTGTGGTTTGTTCTGTAGAAAGAGCACATTTGGATCAAGAGATCTCTTTCCCCAAGGTGCTGGGTTCTTTAAATAAACTCGTTCTTCTTATCAACACTCGCCTCTGCTGAATTGGCTATCTATCCAGGCAGAGAGCTGCAAGGGCCTGATTATTTGTCCCATAACACTGCCTCTTCTGACCAGAGATTTATTTAAATAAAGTATTTAAATAAATATTCATTCCACAATGAGTGCTCAAATGGATAGAACTTTGTATTTTCGATTCTTTCTGTTGTACTCTGTATGACAGCAAAGACACTGGCTTGGAATCCCTAGTACTTAGTAACTATTTGGAGTAGGTTTTCAATGAACTACCTCCTGAATTTTCATTTGAGCAATTACTATGATAGTTTAAAATGTAAGTAATTATGGCCTAAACAAGGATAACAGTGGAAAGAAAGATACAGGGGATGATATTTCAAATAAAATACATATGATTTAGCCCTTGACTAGAGTGAAAACTCACAAGTAGCCCAACATTTCAACCATCTGGAAGGTGGTAACTTGTGAGAGAGGTAGACTCAACAAAAGAAGTTAACTACAGTGTTGTAAAAGACAACCCATGTAGGCTCTCTGAGACAGAGGGGGCAAAACAAAGATTTTTCTCAGAAGTTCACAGAGATAGTGTTAGGATTGAAATAAAGAATTTTTTCAAATAATTTTTTTTAACTTTTATTTAATGAATATAAATTTCCAAAGTACAGCTTATGGATTATAATGGCCCCCCCCCACCATAACGTCCCTCCCACCCACAACCCTCCCCTTTCCCACTCCCTCTCCCCTTCCATTCACATCAAGATTCATTTTCAATTCTCTTTATATACAGAAGATCAGTTTAGCATACATTAAGTAAAGATTTCAACAGTTTGCTCCCACACAGAAACATAAAGTGAAAAATACTGTTTGAGTACTAGTTATAGCATTAAATCTCAATGTACAGCACACTAAGGACAAAGATCCTACATGAGGAGTAAGTGCACCGTGACTCCTGTTGTTGACTTAACAAATTGACACTCTTGTTTGTGGCATCAGTAATCACCCTAGGTGTCGCTCCCCCTCTTCATGGAGGAGCGACACTAAACCCTGCGCTGTTCTTTCTGTCTGCTTGGCCCTCCCCGGGTTTGCTGCTGGTTCTTCCCGGGTTGGCTACTATCCCTTCCACCTCCGTGGAAGGGCAGTTCCCCCTGGCCGCATTCCCCACTTCCGCAGGGGAGCGGCACACCGCCGGCCGGCTTTCTCGGGGGCTGCACGGGTTCCCTTAGATGTTCCCCATAGATGTTCCCGGTGCATGCCGTCTCTCTCCTCCTTTATAGTCCTCCTCCGCCAATCCCAACTCGGCTGCCCACACGCCGAGTACGCTGCTCTCCTCCAATCAGGAGCAAGTCCTACAGTTTATTAGTTGAACTGGAGGCAGCTGTGCGGAAGCTGTTTACTTCTCTCCCAGCGCCATATTGTGGGAGAGCAGATGCATAGAATAAGTCTTAATTCCAGTAACAGTCCAGTCCGGGCTGCTCCCCACACTAGGCTCTTGTCATGAGGTGCCAAGGCGATGGAAGCGCCCTGAGTTCACTGACTCTGATAATTTTTAGACAAGGCCATGGTCAAAGTGGAAGTTCTCTGAATAAAAGCAAGGTTATTTGAGGGGTTGGACCCTAAAATATATTCACATTAATTTAGAGACTTGGAAACATTTTTTATGTTGCCTGAAAATAAATGTAGCTTTTTAGAGTTAATCAATTGGTACACACGTATTTAAGTCAGAGGTTCTGGCAGCCACTGTATGAGTTCCAAATCCGAGTAAGACCCACCAGCTTGCTGAGCAAGTTCACAGCCTGCATGTGTGACCCTTTCTCCTCACGTGTCCCAGTCACAGAGGTACCATTTCCTTAGCACCATAATTGTCTAATGTAGTTCATTAAGTGCGCCATAAAGCATGACAAAGTACATTAACTTTTCTCACTTGGTTCCTTAATTAATATGTAGATGATGTTGTTTTCCTTTCCTCAATTTTGCCAGAGATATTCAGGAGTCATGACTAAAGAGAAATAAAAAGTAATGAACGTTCTCCTCTTTCCCCTCTGCTATCCTTGGAAGTAAAGAATCAAATGCTCTTTTATTACACTATTGGTGGTGGTAGTGTGGTTAATATTGAGTTATAATTTATAAACTGTTTTCAGGAGGAGAAACTCATCCCTCCTTCAGCTTTATGAGCTAGCTAGAGCAGGCAGAATAGCATCCCTGTTTTCAGAGGCAAGAAATAGAGGCTTAGAAAATTAAACAAGTTTATTTTAGAAAACACTAAAATCAGCCTTTGACCCTGAATGGCTGAAGAATCTCATTTTTCTCACTAAATCATGCCATATGTCATTGCCTACTTTTCAATGCTTAAAAAAACTGACTTTGGGAGCTAAAATAATTTGGTATCTATGACAGTTCACTCTGACTTTCAATAAGCACAGGTATACATTCTCAGGAAGTGAAAGGTGCTATAAAGGCTATTTAATTTGAATTAAAGTCAAGCCATGATGGGATTGTAACTTCAGAAATATTCCCTTAGAATGCATGGTGAACAAACTCAATGAACCAGCTCACTCAGGCCACTTTCCAA